CCATGCTTCCTTGCTTTTTGACCTCTAAGCTGTAAGCACTTTCCTGATGACTTTATGGGCTTAATCTCAAGTTCTGGGTCATACTGACTAAAACACGAGGCACCATCATGGGACTTCACTAACCAATTGGTAACATTATTTTAATCTTTTATTTACAGTCTATGTCATCAGCGTGTGAATGGGTTGTGAAATTAAGTTAGACATGTTAAAGGGATTTTTCCCCATTTCTCTTTAAAAGCCTTTTCTGCATTATAGTTAAAATGAATTTTATTCCTGGGAAAATCCAAAGTACTGCTTCCCACACAGAAACTTTACTTAGGCACACTACGCAATAATAATAATACCTGCTCAAAGAAATCTGAAGACTCATTGTGGCATTTTACATTTTGCAATCTGTATGAGAGAACTATGCCACTCCATGATCACTTTACATTCCTGCTTTCTTATTTTGAATGGTCACTGCTAACCAGCTAGGCTGCCTGATGATTGTGCTGATCGATACTGATCGCCGGACTCCCCAGAGACATGCGTCCATGGCTGAACGTACCCATTCACCCATCTTTGATTGTAGCTGGCAACTGCAGTCTCTGTTACTCTGAAGATCAGGTCTGGTCTGTAACTCTAAGGAGAAGCAGGTGGAAAACGACTTTGTGTTCCCAAACAGAGCTCACAAGAACTGCCAATTTCAGTAGAAAAGGGTGGAGCTGAAGAGCACCGGTGAGCTGGTACAGGTGGCTTTTAAAAATATTTAGTCATTTATATGGCACAAAAGGTTTGTAATGATATATTATATATATTTTTTTTTTTTAAATTTAGAGCTGTGAATCATGCAAAGCTTTTTAAGTAGATGCCAAGTGAAAAAAAATATTGAGCTGCAATTGATGAGAACAGGTCAACTTTAACAACAAGGCTTTTCAGAAATTTGCACAGAGAAACTTTAAATCATAATTTATGCCCACATAAAGCCTATACTTTAAAAATAAATGAATTTCAATATTTTTTCTCTTTTTTTAAGTAAACTCGATGGTTCATCTTAATTCCTCCCCTTCGTGTCTGGTTGACCAGGCTATTAAAAAAGTAAATAAATAAATAAATCTGGCTCTCTTACATAAGCACTAATAGCTGGTTTGAAAAGTCGTGGGTTGAGAGAAGCAGCTGATAACCCCCCTTTATCTGAAACAATTACAATTGCCATTGTTGCATCTGCACAGATGGTCCAAATAACAGCACATATTTGACCTTTTTTGCATGTGTACTTTTTGGATTAAGTCACCATTACAAAGCAAGAGTGTTTACAGTAAAAATGCATCTACCTTTTACTGATGACATTGCTTAACCTTAAAATGGACCAATCATGCTCATTTCCACCTCCATATTTTTTTTCCCTTGGGCTCTAGTAGAGTAGCTTTCCATGACTCAAAAGAACCCCAAACTTGTTTATTCTATACTTGGTCTCAGCTTATTACCTGGCTCCTCTCCCTTTAAGCCAACAGTCTTCTGATTGGCTACCTCAGCAAACAGATGGTTTGAACACCAGATAGGTGGAGCTTCTGTGCTACTTCTTTCACATCATACAAAGCCAAAAGTAGGGTATTCACCATTGCAATAGTTTATATATGACAGATGGAAGGTGAATCGCTTCAGAGCTGACATAAAATGCTCTTCAAGAGCTCAGTCATATCTACAAATAATGTAGGTCGTTGGAGCAAACATTCTATTCTCAATGTACATCTTTATCCTCCACTTCATAAGTATGCAGACATGCATCCCATGTAATCAGCCTCTATATGACTGCCACTGAAACAGCTCACTGTCAAGTTTTCTAATAAGGTCAAACATGGCCAGATACCCCACGATACTTTCCAATTAGCGTCCCAGGTGGAAGAAAAACCTGAAGCTTCCCCACTGCATCAAACAGCAAAACAACTACTGAAGAAAACGTATAATCTCTGACTCTTTGGCCCACTAGAGCCTGTAATTATGTCAATAAAACACATTCTATATATAAACAACAATAGGCAGTTAAAGTGGGTGTTATGTCAGGGTGTTCTGGTGACTCACTTCATAGTGAAGCACACCCCATGTGCTTGTGGTATTGAGAGCTTGACTCCAGCAATTGAAAGCCTCACAAGACTTTAAATCAACGCCACAGACTAGCAGCAACTGGCTAAGACACTTACTTACATGTTTGCTGCGGCTTGTGAGCGTCAACAATGCTCTGTACACTGGCACACAAGCCACATGTGCTCAATCAGGACAAATTTTCTTGACTGCTAGCTGGTGCGTTTGCTAAATAATTTAGCTGAATCTCAACATTCACAAGCTGCTGCCAGCTGTTAAGAAAATTTAGCTTGAAGCCCTATTTTTATAAGCCTCATTCAGTAACTTTGCATGTACAAAAATAACCCCGATTACCATGACTAACGAGATAAAGGATAATTGATTTAATGGAAGCACTTGAATGCCCCAGCGATTAAGTTTATATGAGCTGCATGATTGTCAAGGGACTGTCTAGAGACATGTGCGATAGCCTAAGGCTAACAGGAAATATATTGTATTTCATGCCAATGAAGTTCATTTGAAAGGAAACCACAGACATCACACAAATAATCAAGAGTTAAAGCCTGACAAGCAGTCAGTAGTGTCCTACAACTTCTTAAAAACACCACATTTAATAGCCTAAAAACGCTTGGTGGGGTGTTTTGCTGGAAAAACTGACAGGAAGAAACACTTTCCGCTTTAAAATTGTTCTCTTCCCATACAACGTGTGGTTGTTGTAGGCAGTTTGACAAGGCGTGGACGTGTGTAATCTATGAATGGCAAGTATAGTGGTGCTAAAAGAAGAACCTGCATTTAACCAGTTGAGTCTAGAAACAGAATTTAAGGGCGAGAGAAAACGGGCAGGCAATAAAATCACAAACATATGGACACTGTACTGAGTCTACCGCGTAAAAATTCATCTCAAGAGGGCATGCATGGTGAAATGAATCTTCTGTAAATAAGCCAAAAGCAGACTAGTTCCAGCTCCGTAGCTCTCGTCCACCATGCACTTCCTTAATGCCTCTCACATAGCTGAGAACTAATTTTTTTTTTTGCCGAACATCTCCCAGCTCCTTGTTTTCTTCAACTCTCACTCAAAAGACAAGACAGAAGGCTAAGTCATGAGCACAAAATTAGACACAGATTCGCTTATTATAGAAACTGTTATGTACTTAATCTGAACGAGAAAGAGAGGCCTCGATCCAAAGTGTGCCAAAGAGTTGCATTTTTATAGCCAGGACAAAATGTTATGAAATGGGCCAAGAAAGAATGTTGCAAGCTCCAGCAAGCAGCTTGCATGAAGTAGGGAAGTGAGGAGAGTCTGTGTGTGGGGGAAAAAGTTAACCATTCTGGTGCTGAGGAGCTTAATTCCCACATAATCAAACTGCAACATGATTAACATGAAACTAGGCTGGACGATAAGGCTGCTCATGAAGGAAAGTAAACCTGTTAAACTGTAAACTTGCTGTAAATTAAGATAGTAAATCAATTTCCACCGGAACATTTCTAAATTAAAGTTGACTCAACGACAAATGTTTTTATAGGAGTGACATTCCTGTTGTGGCATTTTAAACCATTTCACAAGCCTTGGTCCTATTTTGAGTCCAGACTTTCAACACAGTGACATCCAGTTATGTAGTGAAGGCAAACTAATGGACTGTGGGTCAGCAGTCACCGCAAAATATGTAATCAAAATCGCTTCAACAGCAAGCATCTCTAATCTCAAAAGATCCTCTCCACATGTAAGAAAGTTGCCAGATTAAAACTAATGCTGTTGTAAGGTTTAGTTTAAATCAGGGATGTCAAACTCATTTTAACATTGGGGGCCAGATACAGCCCACTTTGACCTAACTACATGTTTGAACTGAATGATAGAAAAATAATTTTGTCTGTCAGCGTGACTCTTAAATTGTAAGAAAAAAACCTGTAAAATTACATGCTACAATTAGGTGTATCCATTGCACACATAAATGACCTAAAAATAATCAAATATAGCAACCATACATTTCTATAATAGACAAAAAACTGGAACCTTTCAAACATTTAATTTTTAAAATCTTTGGTGTAGCTTGAATCTCCATGTGGGTGCCTTTAGAAGTAAAGATAAAGCTGTAAAACATTTGAAAATACTGTTAAAAGTCCAAAATTTATACCCTCAATCATGTCTTCCAAACTTTGTAGTAGGGTCTGATTGGAGTCTTTGCCTGGCCTCCAAGCCTTAGGTTTGACAACCCTTGTTTAAACGGTCTTTTTTTTTTTTTTAAATATATGGGTCCAGTGTATGGGGAGCTCTTTGCAATTTGCTTTCCTTAAACTGGAAATGTAAATAAAAGTTTGCAAGTGGCCAGATTTATCAATGACCACAATAGATACCTGCTAAAACTTCTACTAAAATTGAAGTCATTTTATAAATAGTTGACAGGATTTTTTTTATTACTGGAACACAGAGAAAACCACAGGAAATAAAGCATGCAATCAAGCTTAGGTTTGTGGATATTTAGTGCTTGTGAGGACAATGAATCACTGCACTGTCTCAATCAAGCATATAGCCACAATAAAAGATATACCTACAAGCTGCTCCAGCAACGTCATTAAAATAAATAAATAAATAAATAACCAAGAGCTAGAGAGACAATAATATATCTTGTCTTTATCATTTGCCCTTTTTAAAATTTTTTTTAAAGAAACCGGAATCGGCTGTATTTCTGTGGCATGGGAGACAATGCTAGGCCGCCATGTAAAGCCTGGAAATGGGAGGAAAAAGGAAGAGGGCAGTGTGGCCACCCCTGCCTCACCTCCTGGGGGATACACAGAGAACCAGGAGACGGGGGGGGAGGCTGGGTATGATATGAAGGGTCAGTATGGAGGAAAAGGTGGAGGTTATAAAGGGAAGAGGGTACATGTGAGACAGATATAGGATACAAGCGGCTAGGTGGAGGCGCCTGTTAATTTTGACCCACCATAAAGTCGCTGCCGAAGTTATCCTCTCCCCTCTCATCGTTCCCGTCGCTCATGGCCTTCACCCCCTGGATAAACTTTCTCAGGATGCCGGCTTGGTCCATTTCTTCAATCTTCTTGTTGCCTTTTCCTTTAAAAAATCTCCCAAACTGGCAGGGGGGTAGGGGAAATGTTACAAAATAATAAAACAAAAGCGGACACAGGGAAAGAGGGAAGAAGGAAGGGAGGGGAATAAATAAAAATAAATAAGCTTCACGGGTCCTCCCAGAGAGTCATCGTCCGCTCACAACACAACACCTTTTTTTTTTATTATCGCCCCATGTTGATTCTCCCTTTCCTTCTTTCTTTCTTCTGGACTGTTTTCACAACGACAGCGGTTAGTCCCAGAGAAAAGCAGCAGCGGCCGGATTTTCTGCCCCGTAAACAACTTCACAACCGCGGCGGTGCACGAACTGTAAACACTTGGCTATGCGAGAAAAGAAAAATAAAGGGAAAAAAGACAAGAGCCTGGGTCTGGCCAGCTTATGTACCCCTCCCTGTCTACCTCGGTTGCCACATTCACACACTGCTGCTCGTTATTCGCTACTGGGGAACATCCGGACTGGGTAAAGCCAAGGAACAATTAGGCCCGCCCCTTCCAGGATATACTTATATCTGATTGACTAACGCTGACCAGGAATTAAAATTCAAGTGGCTAAACTGGGTGTCGCTCCACCCAATAGCGTGTTCTCATTGGATAGAATCTGTGCCTGTCGTTTTGACGCTATTCGTCATTGGTGAGCTAAATTACGATCCAAAAACGTAAGGTTTAAATAAACGGCGTTACTGTTTTGCTGTAATTTTTATCGATACTTTAAAAAATTATTTGTTTTTATTCGATGATATGCTGCTTCACATAAAAAATGTTTTTTCTTACAGTCTGATAATTATATATCTAAATAGGTCATCAGTATTATTACATTTAATTGGGAAAACAAACACATTTATATCTTCGTGAACGATATAGTCCTACTCTACTGTACATTTTACATAATTTCATTTGTCTAAAACTTTGGTAACCAAATTATTTCTCAATCCTATCTTAGTATTGTAATACTTCGCACTTTACGAGTATAGGTAGCCTATATATTGCAATTCACTCTGCGTGTCAGCGCTACTTAACAAATACTAATTTAATGGGAACTGTTTATCAGAATGTACAGATACACCTTTCTAGATCTGTCCTGGTAATTTGAATTACTATAACCTTCTCTATAACCTGCTCTCAGAAAATGCCACTCACTGAATATTTTTCTTTCTTTTAGACCATTCTCCATAAACCCCATTTAAAAAACTCAGTAGATCATCAGTTTCTGAAATACTCAAACCAGCTCATGTGACACCAGCAACAATTCAGAGTCACTGGAATCAAACTTCCTCCCAATTCTAATGCACAGTTTGTCTATGTCATGCGTTAAGTTGATGCCAAATGAGTGGCTAATTAGATATTTGTATTATAACAGGTGTACCTAATAAAGTGGAGGTGAGTGTGTATATATGCATGCATTTCTGTTTATTCACATCGGTGGAAAAACATTGTTGGATGATTTTTTTATTTGTCACTTTCTTAAATCAGTGATCACATTCATTATTAGAAAAATAGAGGACATCAGTAAACGTTTGCATACATTTGCATACATGTATTGTAATGAAATCTATTGGCCTTCAATATCTAACTATCCGTGGTCTAAATCAGAAAGAATAACTATAACAAATAATCCTAAAACTAAAATAGATAGATAGATAGATAGATAGATAGATAGATAGATAGATAGATAGATAGATAGATAGATAGATAGATAGATAGATAGATAGATAGATAGA